CCACAAGATTCAACTAGGTCCGGTGTTCGATTGGCGTTTTCCCAGAAGTTAGCTTTGCTACAGTGTAGACAGTTTATGTGCTCAAATGTTTTCTTGCATGAGCAGCAAATCTCGGTCGCTCCTGGTGTCCGACCAGCATTCTGCCAAATGTTAGGTTTGAAACAATGCGGACAGTTGATGTACTGAAACGTTTTATGACAGACGCAACAAGTTTCGGTCGCGCCGGAATTTCGATCGACGTTTTTCCATATATTCGGCTGTAAACAATATGAGCAATTGAGGTATTGAAATCTCTGTTCACAAACACAGCATCTTTTTACTGTGCCCGGACAACGATCAGCATTTAACCAAATATTCTTGTGCGCGCAATGAGGATAATAGAGGCTCTGAAAATCTTTTTTACATGACCAACATGTGCAACACTCGCCTTGAATAAAATCATTATTTTTCCAGTATTGTTCACAGTATCAATGCGGACAGGTCATATGTTGAAAGTTTTTGCTACACAATGCGCATTTCTCTGAGGTCCCTTCCTTATAATCATTGTTCTTCCACAAATTAGACCTCTGGCAATGTGGACATGTAAGTTCCGTAAACGTCTTTGAACAATGGTAGCAGTTCACTACTCCTCCAGATATGTAAGACGACGGAAGACTCAGTAGTGTTGTACACAGTGGACAGCATATTTTCTTTGAAAAGGTTCGTAAAAGGATTACGATGAATAACAAATAAACAATCGTTATTCCAAACAAAGGCTTTGCTTAGAACAAAGTGTAACTCGGGTGTGGGATGGATGTGGGAGTGATCGTTGGTCTTCTCTTCAACGACATCCACACCCACACCATAGCTTTGACCTAGTCTGTAATTTAGTTAAAGTGCAGAATCTTTGCTGTTCTGCTTAGGAACCTTATTGTGCAAATTAGAGACCATGCTGAAACTGAAAGTTAGCATGCCAGAAAAACTACCAAGCCATCGTGAACATCAAAACCTCTGTCGGCAAACTAAATGAACATCAAAAAGGCAGATTTTTTACGATTTTCTGTATCAGATAAAGAGATAGAACCATGTTTCTCACGATATCCTCAATATCTGTTGATAATAAGGTGTCCGAACGGCTTCTGAGTAGTGAAACCGAAGTCTTGAGTAATTTGTATAGTGCCTGCGAGATAGGTATGAATCATATAAGACGAGAAAACTCCACGATGACTCATGTTGGTCTACCGATCGGTCCAGTTGGACTTGTTGAGATCGGTACCGGTACCGGTTTAGAAAAAACCCTACCGGTTGTAACCATGATTTAGACAAACAACGAAAAACAATATCTTAAAAAAGTGCGCTTTTTACGATGTTATTCTCGTTAAAATGTTGACCCGTTCTTACACGTTTTTTTGCTGTTGTTTGCATGACTTCGCAGTGCAAATATGAAGTCAAAAGTGCAAGATGCATTTTGCTCCTGCGTAACCTACTTGTGATTGAAAATGTTTTGCGTTTTATCGCATGATAAGATAAATTGTGTTTTTTTTTCTTGCAACCAAATGATGTGAGAGAGAACGACAATGTTTATATCTCGAATAAGTGCTTATCAGCCATGGTATATCAGTTTTCGAACATGAACAACAGAAAGAAAGAGAAAAGGAGAGAAACATTTTTCTCACTCACAAGCATCTTTTCTGCGTCTATTCATTTTGTCGAATTTCAATCTAGTAGTCACATTGATGGGTGGCGATATAATTGGAGAGCTGCCTTTTTTCAGCCATACAACCGACGGTTCTCCTGCATGGGTCGATTCGACTTACAGCGTGACTCAGCCAGACTCGAATTTCGCACAAACATCGGTTCCTATTACCATCCATGATCTAAGGGGCAAAGAAAATAGTTTCAACCTTGACACTCATAGCTTTGAAGTACAGAAGTATGATGGCCCCGTACTCGATGAATTCGACAAGGATAGCGAGACACAGCGATCGTACTATGAAGAAATTGCTGCATTCCTCAAAAAACGGCTCAATGCCTCTCGAGTGGTCGTCTTCAATCATGTATTTCGGTGCCGAGACCCATCACCTTCGATCAATGAGGTCGATTTTACTCACAGGTATCCTGCTGTTTATCCACATGTGGATCTTGATGAACCCGGTGTTCGATTAAAAGTGAAAGAAGTCCTTGGGGAAGAAGAAGGGGAAAAATTGATGCAAAATCGATTTCAACTAATTAATGTTTGGAGACTGCTTCATCCCAATACCAGCACAAAGAATTCTCTGACCCTTTGCGACTATCGTTCATTAGATGTCGAGAAGGATATTCATCTGTCAGAGGTTCGAGGATCCAATATTACCTCTTCGTTCTATGTGGTGTCGCACAATGCTCAAGATACTCAAAAATGGTACTATTTGAGTGAAATGCAGTCGGACGATATGTTTGTCTTCAAAATCTTCGATAGCGATCCAAATGTTGCCCGGTTTTGTGCTCACACAGGATTCGTCAACAATCACGTACCTGCAAGCGATGTCAAACGGAGTAGCATTGAAGCTCGCTGTCTTGTTTTTTATGATTAATAGAAAATAAATTAATCGTTTCTGCATTTCGAGTGCTCATGCAGAAACTACATCGATAGAAACAGAATGTTCAGATGTAGATGAGAGTGTGAACATGGATGTGGGTATTGATGTCCTTTATTTATCCTATATTCACACTCATCATTACTGAGGACCTTATCTTCAATATCATGTTAATAAAGTCACTGAAAATTGTTTCTCATTGTTCCAGTGTTCTCTAATGTCAAATCTCAACTGAATAGTATTGCGAACAACTGAAGATTAAAGAAACTTGTTTGGGTGGTGAGTGCAAGAACATTTACAAGTGTTGGAAATATTCATATTTTCGTATCCAGAATTTTTTTCAACATGATACATAGGACAATCAAAAAGTTCTGTTACTTCGCTCTATCTATTCGAAGAGACGACATTTCATCCATCCCTCTACACTATATATTCCAGGTAGTTGTTGTAATATTCTACGAAAAGTTTCATCCTTTTAACTCACTCTTTAGATATCTTTTCGAAGTAAACAATAGGGTGTGGATGTGCTGAGGGAGCTATAACAGGACCATATTCATACCCTGAAAAAAAATTAAGGAGCTCCGTGTTTTCACGACATGGTCATCAATGGCAATATCATATAGTTTTTTGTATACGGGTCTTTGCTCAGCTACAGTTCTCAAAACATATTTCCACATACATCAATAGATGGTAAGCAGATCGGTTTCATTCTTGAAAGTCAAACAAGTCATAATGATGAGTGTTATTTGTGAAACTACGGAATGAATAACAAATGAATCTGACATTGGTCGAAAAGAAAAATGTTGAACAGAGAAAATGTCGAACATGAAAATATTCAAAAAAAAGATGTATAGATAACAATGTTGACTTATTGAAACATGGAAACAATAGAAAATATTGCTTAGGCCACGAAAAAGAATTTAAGATGTTCTATTATATTTATGGAATTGACATCAATGAAAAAAGATGTTTTTTTTTAGAAAGACTAAAGAGGAAAATGGAAAGAAGTTGAAAAAAACACGTTAGCTTGAATTATGCATGTTTCATATCAATTTTTTGATTCCTACGCGATATGACAAATCGGCGAAAGAATTCCACATACTAATCAAGTCATCATTATATCAATCATACAGAGTGCTGATCAATAATGTTACCTAGGACTGTGGATGTGGGAATGGGTGTGGGTGTGGGTGTGGGTATAAGAAAAGATAACACTCACATCCACATCCCACACGCTCACCCACACCCTCCCCCCTTGGGATGTGGGTGTAACCATAGGATAGATCAACATTCGCCCACACCCACACCCACACCCACACGCCCACACGCCCACACACCAACACCCACACCCACACCCACACCCATACCCTACACCCACACCCACACCCACACCCACCTATACTCGCACCCACACCTTACACCCTCAGAAGACTTTTTTGTCGACACTTCTCTGATGAATATGAACTATGAACACTTCCTTCTCAGCAGTAAAAAAGTCAACAGATTTGGACCGAGAATGACGGAGATATTCAAAGTTTTCTTCGGTAAAACTACTTTTGAATCATTCTGTATCATGTTTCGTGTCCGATGTTTACAAGGACTAAATAAAGTTAAAATAATTTCTTAATGATTCATGTTACACGATCGAAAAAGTAGCCATGACCATTGTTACCCTATAATATAGAACGTCCAGTGTCATGCAAATATTGCTGTTGCTGCACTTACTAGTACATGATTACATTTGCTAAATATGCGAATAAAAATAATATGCATTGCTTAAAAGAGTAACCATTTAAAACTACCTGTCGATTCGCGAGAGCATGGCCGATTATCAAGCAACGCAAACATTTGAATACGATGATTTTGCATGTCACACACGTAGAGATTGCCCTGCGTATCAAATGCCAAATCAGTCGGCTTGTCTAGTTGATCGGCCCCAGTGCCTTTACCTGATAGTAAACGTTGTTGATGAAAAATAGAAGAAAATTTGAATTATTTTTTTGTGTATTTACATAAATTCAATAGTCCAGATAGGAAATTAGAACATTTTTAGCTTGAAGATCTAAAAGTCTTAGTGGTTCTCACAGGCACGTAACTAGAAATTTGCCAAAGAGATGGCACGAACATCTTTTTTTTTTCGTGGTACACACCTTCCAGACAATTTTTGAGCCGGTGAGAATGTCCAGGCTATCGCCATCCAACCATATCTCTGTTCTGAGAGGATCTTCCAATTAAACTTCAGTTGACTAAGATGAACTTATATGAGGCTTCCAGAAACTCGTATCAGATTTCAGACAATTGTGATGATATGTCAGGAACTATTTTAATACTTCGGAAACCTCTTTTTAGAGCCCAGGAGATTCCTATGAGTAGGTATGCAGTCAAGAACTTCTAAGTAGGACTATTCGAAGCCAGCATGTAAAACTCAGGCGAATGATGTCTCTTTCAATTCGAACCATATTCATCAGCTATGAAATCGCACACGGTTTTTCTAAAATGCATACCTTTTCCGCCGGCAATAGTATCACCTTCGGTTGCATCGGGTAGCCATCTTTGAACGCGATGATTGCTTGTATCTATTACGTACACAACATTGGTTTCTTCATCGACGATCACATCATTTGGATAATACAATGTTGCATTATCATGACCTTCTGTACCATTACTTGATCCAGCCACAGTTACTCCTTCGTGAGCCGTTTTCGGCCACTTTTGGATCCTACTATTCCACATGTCAGCTACGTACACTGTGTCACCATTTCTAGTGACATATATGCCTTGAGGATGATTCAAAAGTGCACTTGTCGAGCCACTTGTGTTTGTTTGTCCAGCAACAACTGTGGTCATATTGGTTCTAGGTGACCATTGAACCACAATGTGTGTATCTGCCTCTGTCATGTAGACATTTTTCTCGTTGTCAACTGATACACCTGAACACAAGTTACATTCACCACCCACTTGTACACCCTTCGATGCTCCATTGACCCATTTTTCGGTGCGATTCAAAAACCGAAGTGAAACGTAAACAGTCGGTCCACTATCCTCATCAACGTAGATTTTCATAGGATTCTTCACATTGGATGCCACAGTGATGCCCATAGTCGATGGTCCAATCGGTGAGAACATTTGAACGCGATGATTGTCAAAATCAGCCACATACAATGCATTTCTTTCTTTATGGATGAAAATTCCTTTTGCGTTGGAAATTTGAAAACTAGAATTTCCGGCCTTTCCAGTACCGGCCACTGTAACGCCCGTTGTATTCCATTGCGCACAAAGGCTGATCTTGACCGACGCCACTGGCACGCAGGAGCACAAAATGAAAACTTAATATACGAACAAATATTAATACATTTTTTCTCATATGAGCACTGATGAACTTACACGAATAGATAGCAAGAATCTTCATTATTGAAGACGATCGATGTCACTTAAAAAAGAAAAAAAAATAGAATACATAGAACAAGATCAGCAAGTCAAAATTGTATGCAAGTTCAAGAGATAATATATGCTCTGATTTTTATCATATGCACAATAGATAGCATGTAAATTCCTTCTGTTTTTCATCTAGACTACGGTTTTTAAAGTACAGAGTCAATAGTAATAAGTATGACTGTTCAATCAAAGGATGAGGAATTATAAGATCTCTATTCCATTCAGAATATTTATACAGCGATAGTAAGCTTCATACCCAAGCACGCCATAAACGTGAAATCAGATATTTTAAATCCGTTTTTAAAGTCGTATACTGGCTTTTAACGTGGCTCTACAGTATTTTTTCCTGGTAAGAACGAAGAAAGTGGCATTTATACGAAGGATTTCATAAAACGCATTAAAGCGATTCCGATCGAGTGCGTTTCGAGTGAATTTCTACCATAATCGGGCACCATCTGATTGAAAGAAGTGACTATTTCTTAGACCCTTGAGACTATTTTGATTTTGGAGCTATTGAAGGAGTGACATTGCCTTAGTGTACCTTTTAGAAGAGTTCTTCATCGAGTGAGCGCCGAGAATTATATGACATTTATAATCGATACAGCAAAAATCTCGATTGGTCTTCTAGCCTTACTGGAACGGCTTTAGATTCAGCAATTTTTATAGAAATAAAACTCAATGCCTTTTCTATGTCACAAAAATTTGACTACTTTGTTGTTCGGAAAAGCCCATTATTGACCAATGTCATTTTTCGGCTCAATCATGATACTGATCCGATAGTATCAGAAAAACCAAACTGCGTATACACTTAATTCGATCACGTTGATTGGTATGTACTTCAAGGACCTAATTGGCAACACTAACGTCTAACAGGCTAGACGTAACGCTAGAATAGTTCGGAAATGCAAGTAGCTAGCAACATGCAGTTTTTATGTTAGAAAGTGCAGACTGTGGAACATCAAAATGTACAAATCGCATTGGCTTACCAGATTTCACGTGCCGAGATCCCTGAAAAGCAGACTTTTTTCAACTCCTGGAGTTCGAATACGCAGAAAAACAGCTTCACAATCATAACAAACATGATGACAGTATGTTTCCTCTTCCAATAGAACAGATACAGCTAGACAAACAGTAGTAAAAATTGTTCTCTTCGACCGTAACTCAGTCAGTTATAAAAAGGAAATTGAATTGAAACTTTAAAGGAAAGCTCGAAAGTGATTTTTCTGCATAATAACTGTATTAAAAGCAGAGCATTGCTGAGTTCTTTGAAGATCGATTGAAATTTCAAGTTTGAATTTGATGTTAGTGAAAGTCCTTGCCCTCAATTCATGTATCCATGGAATCAACAGGAACATTGAAATAAGTTTTGACTATTGCTCACAAAATATGATTAAAGTTTATCGAGTGCGGATAATCCAAATCTGGGATATGTGATCTACCAATCAAATTTTTTCGTAATTAAGTGAATCAGCATCCAATGAACGTTACTTGGGAATTATTTATCGATTTTAGACCTTATTCTTTTCGTCTAGGAAACCAACGAACAAAGAATTGTTACTTTTCTACATCATTTTGACGTTGCCTACTCTCTTTCCCGTTCAAAGATTTTCACGTTGTCGCTTTGCACGAAATAAATTTTGGAACAGACGTCAAGGTTAATGAATTCGTCAAGAAACGAGCTATGCAAGGATACAATTGTCAGAAGTTTATAGCAAAATTTTTCACAAAGTTGGCCCACTCAAGCCGTTTCATTCCCATGGGGCACATCTCCTCTAAAGTGGACACTCGACGCACTGTACGAACGATTTTTACTGGAAATGAAGCTCTCGAATGTTTTCATCCAGTATACTATTGTCTTGCTTCTTACCTATCGGTGTTATTTTCTGAATGAGACAAAAAAAGGACTCGTCCAATGTAGCAAATAATATCACCGATATACATTTCTATTTGCACACTCAGCGAGAAGAGAAAACAACGATTGGTTGTCGCGTTTCACCTCGTTCGATAAAATAATTGAAAAATGCCGTCGTAATATCATCTTACATTTGTCGACAAGATTAACGACCAGGTGGATGGTACTAAGCTCTCACAGCACAAGTTGTGTGAAAATAATAAGGTATTCAACGATGCCGTTGACAATATTTTTCAATCGAAAGTCGAGTCCAAAAGCAATTTCATCATCAATACGAACAAAGAGTAAACGCCTCTCCAAAGTGGATGTTTTGAAAAAACTGCGCCTATGCCCATAAAGGGAGATAAGGGTGATATTTAGAGAAGAAATTCAGGATAAAGACTGCCTATTGAAGGGGCAGAGGTCACCGTCTTCTTCAAACTTGTGCTTCTGATCTGAGGTCATGACAAATCTCAAACTGTTACCAGTTTTGACTACATATCTGACCGCTGATATCTGATTTTGTTGAAGATATCAGATATTTAAGCTAACCCATAGTTCAGAGTCATCAGCATAAACCAGACATTAGATGTTTGAATCTATCTATACTTTTAAAATCACCAGCAGAAGTCAGATATCAGATATTTGGTTCCATCTCTGTAATTGCACGGGTTTCAGTAGGAAGCCGATGTCAGAAGTATACTCTTCGTATAGTTTCATGTTTACATTAAGCTTTGGAATAGAATTTAAGTAGCATAGTTTTCTATGTTCAGTGGCTGGAAGTGAAAATATGAAATTTTTGAACTCCAATGACAGTGTTGTCTCATACTTATTATTCATTATATTTTGATTGTGATCAGAAAATACTAGCCGATGATTCTGATGTTGATGAACTAGATGAAGCTCTGTTGTTATTAAAGGAACTGTTCTCGACAAAAGATGAAAAAGATTCTGTAGCATTGCACTCGTACACAAATGTATAAATGGATGACTTTTCTATATCTCTTGTTACTGTATTTCAGCAAATGAACCTTTCCAAAACATATTCATCAAATATCCTTCAGCTAAGCCATTCCGTTCTTCCTCAGCCTAATCACTTGCCAACATCGGTAAACAATCTTCTCAAATATATTCATGGTAAATCGTGTCCTTTTTTCATGAAGGACAAGTAGCTATAAGGCCATATTTTTTATTGTTTCTTGAATAAATTTAGTTTAAAAGGCAAATATATGTAAGCAATCAATAAAGTGGCAAAATTTTTGAAAAACTCAATATTATTTAATTGATTCGACGTTTCTATCTTCTATGAGCAGTATTCAGCTTCATAGTACAAGTTAGTGGTATTCTGGAAAATGATTTTTTAGAAGATTAAAATGTCGAATTAATTAAATTATATCGGATTTTCCAAAATGTTGCGACTTTATTCATTACATTCACTTATTGCTCCAGTTTTTTCATAAAATTATGTGTACACAATCAGCAATGACTTTTGAACACACTACAATATTTTATCTATTGCCTCCATAAAGAAAATTTACAGCTCTGATCTTTAGCGAACTTTTCAAATTTGTTTTTTCAAAAGCGTTTACATGATAGGTACGTTATTGACACTATGCATTGGAAATATCATAATTATTTTGGTTTAAAATACTCTAAGATGTCAAAAAAGGATCATAATGAGGCTGTGGGTGTAGGTAGATGGGTATGGGTGTGACACCTCTCTACATTTACAGCCATGACCTACCCCTACACTCCACACCCACACCCTTACAATTCCAGATCGATCGCTTTTCTGATGATAACACACGGTTGATTTTCCCAACCAATTCTATCAGGTCACCTTTAAAAGCGAATGCGAATGGATTTACAAGGTAAGCGCTCATCTACACACATTTTCAACCAAAAATCAAAGTTTCTCCGACGTGCCCTGTTAAAATATCGCACTCCATGTATAGGTGTTTCAACGCCTTTAAAGGGGTTTAAATGCCACGAAAGGGGTTTAAATGCCATGAAAGGAATTTCAACACCTATAAAGGTGTTTCAAGGCTCTTTATTGAAATCTCACGCACAAATTGACATTTCCAACTACAAGCATTCCTTGAGACTAGGAAAAGCATTCAAAAGGCTCCTTTCTCGATAAGAACTTGCCCTCATGTGACTTACACTTCGCGATCAGTCGCTTTTCTGAGGATAACAAACGGTTGATTTTCCAAACGAATCATAACAAGTCACGTCGAAAAACAAAGGCAATGGATTTTCCAAGGTAAGCGCGCATCTAAAGCTAGTTTTCACGAGAACTGAAAGTCTCTACGATATGCCCTGTTAAAATATCGCACCCTCATACAGGTGTTTCAACGCCTTTAAAAGCGTTTAACTGCCTTTAAAGGGGTTTAAATACCTTTAGAGGTGTTTCCAGGCTCTTTATTGAAATCTCACGCGCGAATTGATATTTTCTTCTGAAACGATACATTGAGACTAGAAAAAACATTCAAAAGGCTTCTATGCCGATAAGAACTTTCCCGCACATGACTTACACTCCGCAAACGGTTGCTCGTCTGATGATAACAAGCGGTTGATTTTCCCAAGGAATCCTCTCAGGTCATGTTAAAAAGCAAATGCAATGGATTTTCCAAGGTAAGCGTGCATCTACACGTAGTTTTTGCAAGCATTAAAAGTTTCTACTAGATGGCCTGCTAAAATATCGTAAGCCTTTTGCAGGCTTTTCAACGCCTTTAAAGGCGTTTAAATGCCTTTAAAAGGGTTTAAAGGCGTTTAAAGGTGTTTTTCAAGGTTCTTTATT